TCTGCTTGTGCGTGCACTCTCTCTCTCTAAAATAAATAAATAAATCCTTTTTTTTTTTTTTAAGATTTTGTTTATTCATTTTGAGAGAGAGAGAGAGCACAAGCAGAGGGAGAGGGAAAAGCAGACTCTCCGCTGAGCAGGGAGCCCAACATGGGGCTCGATCCCAGGACCCTGAGATCACGATCTGAGCTGAAGGCAGACACTTAACCATCTTGAGCCACCCAGGAGCCCCTAAAATAAATAAATAAATCTTAAAAAAAAAAAAAAAAAAAAAAAAAACAGGCTGGAAATCAGGTGATGCATGGAAAGAAGACGTCTGATAGAAGTCATGGGGAGGGGGGCGCTGGAGATTCTCTCGCCCTTGTGTGCAAGAGGAACAACCAGCTATTAAATGGAGCTGAATAATCGCATGACTGCGCTCGAGAGCTAGAAATGTAGGCGCCTCCCGGGCTCCTGCCACCATCCAACCCGCAGCTCCCCTGGCAGGGCAGACCCGCGCCATGTGCCAACTGGCCTCGTGGCTCTACATCCAAGGAGCGCCTACCACAAAGGGTGCCCCCAAGAGCCGTCCAGGGTCAGTGGGAGTTTGGACTCTCCTCTGGGGCCTTTTGTCTGACTGTTTACCACACGAAAACACTGCGGGCTCAGAGCACACTGCAGAGGGACGGTGTGTCCTGGACTCCCCATCTTGGCCACTCTTTGTGGGGGACAGGAAGAGAGGAAGGCAAGAATGAGAACGAGTTTCTCCCCCGTGCTCTCTTCCATTTAGAAGCCCTGGCTCGGGATGCAGGCGACACTCGGGGCAGTCCTCGCTGCACACTTGCTGAGTGTGGGCGCTCCGTTGCGCTCGTGGTGCACGTTACGTGTAAGGTAAACTGCCCCTAGATAAACTGAGCGAGCAGCAGTCCAAATGAACTGGTGCTGGAAGAGCTTCTGAGTGAAACAACAATTTAGAAACACTTACAAATGCAAGCCGTAGGGGAAAAAAATACTGAAATCATGACATTACCCATCACTTGGCTCTCCTTCTTCACTGTTTTCTTCAACTAGCTCTTATCTCCTCTTACATGTATTTTATGAAGTTCCTCAAAGCCGTTCTGGAAAGAGATCTGTTGTGAATAAAGACAACTATTAGATCCTGACCTTATCGTCTAGTATCTTCTAACCCAGGTGGGATGGTGTGGCATAAAATGTGTTTTTAATAAAAGCCGATAGCAGATCAGATGGTTAAGCGTCTGCCTTCGGCTCAGGTCATGATCCCCGGGTCCTGGGATCGAGCCCCGCGTCGGGCTCCCTGCTCTGCGGGGAGCCTGCTTCTCCCTCTGCCTCTGCCTCTCTCTCTCTCTCTCTCTCTCTCTCTGACTCTCATGAATAAATAAATAAAACATTTTAAAAATAAATAAATAAATAAATCTGATAGCAGAGCTGTGGTGGGGCCAGGGGGTACAGTCGCCTGTCTAGTGGGGAACAGGGACCTAAATTGCTGTCAGTTCCCCGGAGTGCGGCCTGGACAGTAGTCTGCTGGGAAAGTGGAGGACTAGAAGCTCAGTGTGAGCATGTGGCCAGAGTGGATAGGGAGGGGGAGAGAGAGAACTTTCTGGGGGCTCTGCACACGTTCAGTTGTGGTCGCGCCAGGCGGAGGGCTGGCAGATGAGCTCAGAGAGCCTGCAGAGGACAGGGGCACACACGAGGGTAAGTGCTGGGGGGAGATTTGGGGTGGGGGGGAGGAAAACAACATCAGGGCCAAAACACTCGGCAAAAGATATGCCATAAGTGATAGCAAAAACTGAGAAAAAGGTCATTAAATTATCAACAAGGGTTTAAAAACACCTGCGAACTCATGTATGCACCCATTGGGTGTCCAATTGCCCCTCTGCTCTCCGGCTCAGGGGATCCTCTACAAAGCCACAGGGACTGGCTGACAGCAGAACCTCGCAGCACAAAATCTTGGGGAGCCTTGTCAGCCACCTACCTGGTCCAGAGTTCTTGCTCAGCAGTCGTCTCCATGCTCGTAACTACATCTCCTCTGATGTGGCGGCCCGGAGGATTTTTCCCCTATCCAAGCTGGGAGGAGGGATCCCTTCGAGGATGTTCAAGGACCACCCAACCCTGAGTGAGACGGGCAGGCGTCAGGATGATGACACCTCCATGGGTCAGCCGCAGAGCTTTACACGTACCCTTGCCAAACCTCATCACATCCGTATAAAAGAAGGAAAGTTACCCCACGTTACAGGGAGGAATCTGAGTCTCGGAAAGGGTAGCTCACATACCTAAGGGAAAACATCTAGGAACGGACAAAGTAAGGATTCAAGCTCAGGTCCGCCTGACTCAGAAGCCCATGTGCCAGCACAATCTCGAATACACCCCCTAGCAAGGCTGCATTTTGTGAGCGGCCCCTCTGGGATGACTTTGCAGGGACTGGCAGAGAGGATGGGGAGACTAGGATGGAGGAGGAGGTCGTTCTGCCAAGAAGACTTGAGACCCAATCCTGACCAGGGCCACTGAGGCAGGAGGCTGCATGGGTGCCGTGTGGAGGTGGCTTCAGGGTGAGGTCTCTAACAACCTGTGGACGGCCGAGTTGATTAAGTTAATCAGCGAGTCGATGAAAGGCAAACAAGGATCAGCAGCTGGAAATATTGGACGGTGCTGAAGGGCATCGATGTACAAACTTTGGTGTTAGACTTTGGACAAGTTATTTAAACTCTGTGAGCCTCAGTTTCCTTATCTGCAAAACAGGGATAATGGCATTTACCCTCATAGGACTTTTGCAATGGTTGAAGGACTGACGGGAATAAATTGGTTTGCACAGTGCTCGGCACATACAGGGAACCCTCAACCTCTCGTGCCATTCTTATCATGATCATTCTTATTGCTATAGTATCGGGATGGTAGCCCATCTGCCTAAGTAACTCCTGGAAACTGGTATGGTTCCTTTCATTCCCCTACCAAGCCCTCTGACTATCCTCTTGTGATTCATTTTTCTCTTTCCGGGTAACCTAGGAGCTTATTTTCGCCTTATTTTACCAGGACAAAATGTTGGAGGGAGATTTCCCTGAAGTTCAGAACTGTAATCATGAACCCCGACCTCTGGCCTCCCTCCTAGGCCCCTGACACACACAGCCTGAGCTAAGACAGGGGACCCTGTGGTTTCGTAGGTGTCCAGTAGGGGGAGCCAGCGAGTCGTGGCTGCCTTGGGGACCTCGGACAAGAGCTATCAGCAATTCCAGGAGGCGGGAGGTCCAGATAAAAGACCATGACATCTACACAGCTCTCTGTGGGTTGTGTGGTTTTTGCTTTTATTTTTGTTTTGTTTTTCTTTAATTCTGCGCTCCAGGAAGTGCACCTGAGTTAGTTAGATTCCTGCCATCACTGAGCAAGCCACAAATACTGAATTTTAAGAAGAATGGGGAAAGAAATGGATTTTTCACTTGAATTTTAGATTACTCTGCTGTGGAATGTTTGCCTCCCGTCCATTCAAAGGCAGCAGTGTTTGTCCTGGGATCTTCACCTGGAAAGAAGGACATTTCGGGGAAACATTTATGTTTGTTTCCTCCTTACTGGGAAAAAGGGCAGGTGGGTTTCCAGAACATGAACTGTGTTCCCCTTGCCCTCCCCACCCTCACACCACACCCCTCAGGACTTTGCTGGATTCTTACGTCTGGGCAGAAGCTGTGTGGAGTCTAAGAGAAATTGAGAAATTTCCACGCTGGGAGCAGTCCCTTTGCTCTGCGAGTCTACTGTGTAGCAACTTGACCCTCAGTTTTTAGTTTTAAGTGATACTATGTTGATCTTTTTTAGTTACAAATATTCTCCAAAATATTTCAGGGTGAGAGTAGTTTCCAGAACAACGAGGGGAAGTAAAGATGAATTTGCAGGATTGTCCCTGGGTACAGACCTTGGAACAATGTAGAAAGATGGCAAAGCTGCTGGCACCAAATCAAGAACGGGGGGGGGGGGACGGGGGGGATGGAGAAGGAGAGGGAGAGAAACATCAGCAGAGAGAGACAGAGAGAGGAAGAGAGACAGACAGACAGACAGCAGGTGCAGGACAGGGGACTGGTCCTCAGCAATGCTTTGGCCGGAGCTCCTGAAGTGGGAGGAGAAAGCCGAGGGCACGGGTATGCCGAGCTGGGTTCTGTGTATAAAACTGTTAGGTGCCTCCTCCCAGCACTATCTGCTCCTAAGCACCCTGCCTTTTACGAGAGCCCAGCAGCGCTTTATCAGCCAGTGCCTTCTGCCGCCGGGCAACCAGCTGGAGCGTGAGTACCCTCCTCAATTCTATTCATTTCCAACTGTCCACTGTTGCCAGTTTGTCTGCTTACTCCTAATTGTTCTTCTTTTTTAATGGAGAAATATGCCTCAGATGGTTGCAACTGAGTAGAAGCAGCAAAGCCAGAGTCCTGGGAGGCAGGAAAGCAATTTCCCAAAGCCGTGGGCTTCTTCCTAGAAGCCTGCGAGCCATGTCTTTGCTCACGATCTCTGAAACCGGGTGGGAGCAGCACCTGAGCTCCGTGTGCAAGAGGGGTTCGAGCAAGGAGTCCACTTTATGTGCCAAATGCCTCGGGGTTCATCAGTGCTGGAGAGGAGTTTCAAACTGTGTTTGTGAAATAATTGAGTGAAGTTGGAGACATATCAATATGACTCCAAAAAAGCGGGGTTTGGGGAATGGCCCTTTCCAAATATGGCTCTGCACCCCGCCCTGAGTGTGCCGTCTTGCTGAAGGGAGTGTGCTTGCTACCCACCGGGAGAACCTGGTGTCCACCCCTGGCAGCTTCTTTGCAGCTGCATTTTCTGGTGTGGAATTCAGACCCCAAGGCTTCTAGGAGTGGTGCCTTCTGAGGACAGAAGTGTTTTCATCAGGAGATAGGAATACCCAACAGCACTGTCTTTGTTTCTGATTAAAGAAAATTAAGCCCCTCCTACCGCTTGGAACCAAAACCCACCCAAAATAAAGATTATCGTAAGTACCAAATAAATGTCAATGCTTAAATTCTCTTTATGATAGAGCATGAACGTTTAAATGTTTTCCTCTATATCTGTATCCAAAACTTTGTATTATTTTTTAAAGTGATACTTGAGCCACAGAAAATTGAAGACTTTCGGGTCTCTCCAACTGCACAGATTTCTAATGTACGCTGAGTTTTATTGCATGTAATCAAATAGGGAATGTTGGTTGAATTGAAATCTTGACATTGCCTCGCATTAGAATAAGTACTGCTTCATCTCACGAGTGATTTGGGTTATGAAAGGTGCTTTCTGACTCCTGCTGGAAAGCTCACCAGGTACAGCTTCTAGAATATTCCTGGGATGTTCACTTTAGCACATACAGGTTTGTTGTGGATGTGTCAGTGATACAAAAGAATGAGGCTCACTTTGAGGTACATGTCTATTTGTCAGAAGAGTTCCTGCTTCCAGCTAGGGCATAAGGTGAAAGTGGGGGTGACGGGGCCCTTGGTTGTTGTTCGCCCCCACCCAAGGGTTATTTCAAACCAGCCATGAAGACAGCCTGTGTGCGCTATGTCACTGAGCCCTGACGCACACTGCAGACCCCATCACTCAGGAGCTGCTCCTTCACTGTTTGCTTGAATAGAATCTCAGGTGGCATTAATGTGCCTGGCTCCAAGAAGACAAAGAACCACCATAGCTTCCCTATTGCATAAAGCTCACTCTGCTGAGGAGACTTGGATGGTCCCCACTCTGAACCTGAGTCTTCTCTTCTATAAAGTGAAGGCTTAAATTGTGTGCTCTTTACAACCTCACCTAGCTCTCAAATGTTTCTCTCTGGGCTCTAAGAAAATATGATGGTGAGCTCAAGGATATTGTCCTCCTAGATGTGTGTGATTTGGGTGGCGGGGGGAAAGAGGGGTATGCAGGGGCCAAAGGGGTAAACACCTACACGGAGGGAACATAACAGTCCCTGCTTGTCTCTTTCTTCTTTCTTCTTCTTCTTCTTTTTTTTTTTTTAACTGCAAATAAGATGAGAGTCCTACCACTGGTTTTTCTTAATGCTGTTCTTTATCAAACAAACAAACAAAAATACATAATGCAACAACCCACAGACACTTCTGTTGGTACTTAACTAGCCAGATAATTTAACCATGGATAAACACACACACACACACCTTTTTTTTCTGAGACATGTCAATAGTATTTCCCACAATTGTGGATTTTTCAAATCAAACGAGTAGAAGAAAGTAAAAATTAAATAAAGGAGGGACAAAAAAAATACCACATACACACAACTTTTCTGGAACTTCTGAAAGAAGAATGATATCCTTGGATGCAGTGGACCTTTTTTTTTTTAAATAAAACTTACAAAAAGTTGCCACACCTGTTGAATTCAACTAAGAATTATTTTTTATTAACAAGGTGATATCCAATATTTAACAATTCTTATTCTGATACAAGAAAAAATGCCATTCAGCAGGATCTCAGACTGGGCTCTTGCTGTGCATTAAGAGTGTGGCTTTTATCTTATTTCAGAAAATAGAGCCCACCCCATGCCTTCTTCTCCTATTTGTAAAGAACAAGGCTGAGGGAAATTGTTGCATTGGTATTGGTCCTAACAGGGGGTTGCCTGAAGCATGTCAGAGCCTGAAGCCCACCCCTCCCTCTGGACAGGATTCAGATCGGCAACCTCCCGCTGGTAGAGAAACGCAGCAAAACAAAATCTGTGCGTTGGTCTCTGTGCAGGATGGTTTGCTATCATTTTATCCTTTTATTTAAGCAAAGTAAAATGAACGTTCTGTGTCTGTAGTCAGCTCACTGTCTCTCCTTGCCAATGGAGAAGCCTGCCTTCTCCGTTGGAGGTCTCCATCTGGGGCCACAGCTCTGCTCCCCAGGACCACACCGGGGGCACTCCTGCCTCACTCCATCCTGCATGCCGCGTGCTCATCCTGCTGATTCACGTCTTTTTGCCCTTTGTCAAGTATGGAGAGAGAGGAAGGATGAATGGACAGTCTTTGGTTACCGACGCTGGTGATGCCCCTCGTGGTCCTCTTTGGAAGGACCCCTGTGGAGATAAGGCTGGGGAGGCTGCGCTTGGAGGCTTCGCCCGGCTCAGCATGGCCCCAGCACAGGGGCCCCCGGATCAGGTATGCTCCCTCGGTGCAACCTCTGTCTCCGAGAACGTGGGCGCCTGCGCTCCAAGCTCAGGTGTGTCTCTTCGGAACAGAGCCCGGGAAGTGGGGTCCTCATGCTCTGCTGAGGGGCAGCGGGATGCATGGGAGTCTTGGTCCTGAAAGTCACACGGCACTCAACTTGGGTAAGACTGAGCTACTGAGTTTTGAGAACAGTGGAAAAGCTAGGAAAAAGGAGTCTGGGGTTATAATCTTACCCTGTTGCTACTTATTTAGAGCTTTTTCCCTTTATTTTCTTGTCTTTTTAGTTAAATTTAATGGCTGACTTAGATTTGAGGAATCTGAGCATCAGTAGAAGTCCCCGGCTGCATTGCCTTCCTGATCAGAATTCTTAAAAGTTCTCCAAAGAACTGCAAATCATCACACGTGATAAAATTCTAGGGTGAACTACAACCTTGAAGTTACTGGTTTCTCATAACCAGTTCTCCTGCCTGAGTTCTGGAGCAAGTCTTCAGGATCTGAAGGGCTCTTGAAGTGTTCAGTAGTTCAGAATAAATGGTTCGTGGGCGGGGTCTGCCACAGCACCGTCTGCTTACCCTGGGAGAGGAGCCCTCTCTCTCGGGCACGGTACCCTGACAAACCATCCCAACACGCAGGTACTAGGAAGACAAATCACAATAAGCCTTCTTCTATATGCTGGGCTGTGGACTCCCGACAGAAATAACTCAGTCTTCCGCTTTGGGAGTCCCGGCAAGGAGCTCAGGCCAAGCAGGTTCTAGATCACGTCTGACCAGTTGTAGTATCGGGTTTGGCATCTGTATCTCCAAAATCCCTGAGCTGATGGTGTATTTAAAACCCTCTAAAATAAGTAAATATATGTCGGAAATTTCGAGAACATGAATTTGTTCACCCTGAAATAACCTATACACTTTACTGTTTCTGTAGTTGATGGAAAAACTGGAATGTTTTCATTCAATGCTGCCTCTGTAGGAACAGATCTACTCAGTTATAGAAACTCAAAGCAATTGTGTCTGAGCCTCTTGCTGTTGCCTGGGGTGAAACCTGATGCCTCTCATAAATTGGTCCTGCTTTACAAATGGGTCACTGGAGCTGAGGAAGGAGCTTACTGAGCAATGTTGTCAGTTATGAGATTTAAAGAGGAAGATATATGAAAATAAATGATAGCTATCATTAGCTATTATTTATAAAATAAAAGGTAGTTTTTCATAATTGCTTAAAATTCGAATCGTTTTCCATGTTTCACTATGGGTCCAGCTGAGCTCCCTACAGACTAAGTTTTGGTTCCTGACCTCCAGCAGTTTTCAATTTAAGAATTTCTTAATGCCGGGGAGCCTGGATGGCTCAGGTGGTTAAGCATCTGCCTTCGATTCAGGTGATGATCCCAGAGTCCTAGGATCGAGCCCCATGTTGGGCGCCCAGCTCACCCGAGAGTCTGCTTGTCCTTCTGCCCCTCCCCCAGCTCATGTTCACACTTACACTCTCTCTCTCTCCCCCTCAAATAATAAAATAAAAATAAAATCTTAAAAAAAAAGAATTTCTTAATGCCAAGGTTCATGGGCAATCTCACAAGTGCAGGTGTCTAACACCGTTTTGCCAAGACGAAATGAGCTTGGTCTAGAATTCATTGCATAAATAGCTTCTGCTTTGTGTAATGATTAATAGTTGGCCATTGTTTAAAAGCAGGCCACTTAGTTGGGTGGTGAAATAATACAATTGAAGTATGGTGGCTACTCGATAGAAAAATCAGTTACCCACATTGATTTTTGTACTGGGATTAACAGAAGCCCAAACTAGAGTCAGGATTGCAAGAACTAAACATTTTAAAAAGGCATAACTTTATTATCTTTTAATAGGTGTTTGTTGGCTATGATAAATGCAACAAGGATGGGGCCAAAACTATCTGTGAGAACCCCTTACTCACAGCCTGGCCACAGGGAGAAGCTGAGCTGGTTTGTCTGCATAGATTTGGGGTATTCCCTTGGTGGTGTGCTCTATGCCTGTGAATTCAGCTTTCCACTGGTGCCTTCTGGGGTCGGAGAGTTTTGATGCTTCCCTACTCCACACGTACCTGGATGTGCTCTTGGCATTGCTTGCATGCTCAAGGTGGTTTGCCAATGTCTTTCTCCCTTTGCCTCCCTCTGGGATGACATCATTGATATTCTTCTTTTGTGTCTACCATTGGCACTGTGAAAACTTCATTTTTGTCTAGAGGGTACCATTCTGGTGATGTTGGTGCTTTCCCATCACACAGTTATCATGAGAAGTGAAGAGTCTTGTAGTGAACACAAGTCACGGTCATATTAGTATTTTTCTGAGGCATGCTTACTGTAACCGTGCCTTACATATTCTTATATTGTACAATTCTTAGGTTACAGCTTTTTGGTTTTCAATAGCTTCGTTCACTTTTACCTTTTCTAGTTTCTATACCGTATAGAATATTATTCATGACTGTTTTTGAAACATTTAAATAACCAATTGCAAAAATAAAGACTATCTGAGGCAGTTGCCCAATGTGGGGACATATTCAAGCAACCTTTGACTTGAAGAGTGTCTATGAGGGGCTTTACTTAGGCTGTGTCAGCACACAGAGATCGTTTTGTAAATAATTCTGCCCTGTCAAACCTTTAAAAACAAAAACATTTTTGTAAAATAGAAACTTAATTTAAAAAGGCTGCTCAGGACTTCTGGGGAAGATGGTGGAGTAGGAGGACCCTAAGCTCACCTCATCCCATGGATACAACTAGATAACACTCACATCAGTGTAAAGAACCCAGAAAACGATCCAAAGACTGGCAGAACAAACTCCACAACTAAAGGTAGAGAAGAGGTCACATCGAAGGGGGTAGAAAGGGCGAAGATGTGGTCAGAAGCCAACAGACCCACAGGTTGGTCCACATCAGGAGGGAGCTGTGCGCATGGAGAGGGGAGAGAAACAGACCCCCACACCAGGGAACCCACACTGGGAGGACGAATCCCCATAACAACTGGCTTTGAAAACCAGAGGGACTGAAATTCATGAGTTCTCACAACCAGCAGGACTTAAAACCTGAAATTTAAAAAATCAGTGGGCTTGGCTCTAGGAGAGCAAAGAGGGAGAGAGGAAACTGAGACCCCGGGCTCGCTTAAAGAGACAGCACAACAAACAGCCCCGTGGGGACACAGCATAAAAACAGCAGTTTGAAAAATGCCTGGGGCGTACAGGGGGGAGGGTTATTTACTCATCTCAGAGCCTGTCCTGGAGGGACAGAGACCACTGGGGGACTCCTCCAGGAAGAAAGGAGCTGGCAGGCACCATTTCCTCCTACGGCCCCCAGCATAAGCACACAGACACCTGCAGGAGGAACCAGCCGTTGCTGATACTCTCTACCGAACTTGCTAATACTGCTTCCCCACTGCTCCGCCCCCTGCAGACAAACCTGCCCCAGTCCCAGCACCGCAGAGGGGCCCCTTTTGCTCAGAGCCAATTCAGGACAGTGCCACAGGCTTAGCAGGGTGCAAGCAGCCCCAGCAGGGACCAGCACCACTCCAAAGTGAGTCCTGTCCCAGGGATAGGGGAATAGAACGATGTACACCAGTCGGACTGCAGCCCCCACAGTGGGCTCGGGGAAGACATCAAGCCTGACTGCAGCCCTGCCCACCAACAAAAGCTTCTCAGAAGACAAGACAGGGAGAACAGCCTGCGGTTCGGTGCTGCTATATCTCTGGCAAACGCCTGGCCTGACTCAGCTCAAACCCAAGGCATCGAATATTAGCCCACTCTTACTGCCAAGATCAAAGCCTGCCCACAAGAGGCAAAGAAGGTCACTGCAGATGACTGGACTGAAGGAAAAAGCAGCTCAGTCACAACAGCTGTGTGCACAACACACACAGAAGACTCCCCCGGAGCACCAGGTTCTGGTGAACATTGCAGGACACTACAGAACCTCTTCTTCGTAAGGTCATTGCTTTCCAGTGCGGGAGACACAGCTGACTTTCCTAACACAGAGAAACCGAAGCAGAGACTTAAACAAAATGAGGAGACAGAGGAATATGTCCCAAATGAAAGAACAGGACAAAATCACAGCAAGAGATCTAAATGAAATGGAGATAAATAATGTGCCTGATAGAGAATTTAAAGAAATGATCATAAAGATACTCACTGGACTTGAGGAAAGAATGGAGGACATCACTGAGACCCTTAATGATAAGATAAAAAAAAGAACCAATCAAAGATGAGAACATAATAAATGAAATTAAAAATACACTAGATGGAATAAATAGAAGACTGGAGGAAGCAGAAGAATGAATCAGTGACCTAGAGGACAGAGTAAAGGAAAGCAATCAAGCTAAGCAGGTAAAAGGGAAAAAAAATAAGCAAAAATGAGAATAGACTTAGGGAACTCAGCAACACCATCAAGCATAATAACATTCACGTTATAGGGATCCAGAAGAAGAAGAGAAAGAAAGGGGGACAGAAAATTTATTTGAAGAAATAATAGCTGAAACATTCCCAAATCTAGAGAAGGAAACAGAAATCCAGATCCAGGACGCACAGAGAGCCCCCAACAAAATCAAACCAAGGAGGTTCCCACCATGACACACAGTAATTAAAATGGCAAAAAGTAGTGATAGAGGATTTTATAAACAGCAAGAGAAAACACATACAAGGGAAACCTCGTATGGCTATCAGCTGATTTTTCAATAGAAACTTTGCAGGCCAGAAGAGAGTGGCATCACGTATTCAAAGTGCTGAAAGGAAAAAAAATCTGCAGCCAATAATACTCTATCCAGCAAGGCTATCTTTCAGAGTAGAAGGAGAGATAAAGAGCTTCTGAGACAAACAAAAGTTAAAGGAATTCATGACCACTAAACCAGCCCTACAAGAAATATTAAAGGAGACTCTTTGAGTGAAAAGGAAGGACCATAAGCAAGAGAAAGGAAAGTAAGAAGCACAAACGCAGTAAACATAAATATATCTGTAAAAATCAGTCAAAGGATTCACAAAATAAAAGGAT